CTTACCTGTGCTGTTCCTGCTGGGTGCTAATAACAGACAAATTGAGGTTGCCCCCTGCGTACTGCAACCCGGGGAATTCTGTGTCCACTTGTTCTCTCCACGCCTCTAGGTCCAGCCTGGGGATTTCGTCTCCTTCGCAGGACTTTCGGACGTTCCTGAGAGAAGAGATGGGGAAAGGATTTATTGTTGGGGAATAAAACGTGATAACCGGGGGGAAAAATCTGAAAGTATGTTTCAGAAGAGGATTAAAATAGGGTCACTGTCTCTTTGTTTTTGTTTTTTTTTGTTTTGTTTTTTTTGTTGCTGTTTTCTTAAGGACATGTTTGTACAAAGTTTTAATAGAGTCAAGAGGATCTCTAGTAGAGTAAACTAAAGTAACAGACCCATTATTACTTTCATCCTCTTACCAAATCGTATGGTCTGCAAAAGGAACGTAATTCCATCCGGGATCCAGTGCAACGTGATTGGCTGTCGTGTTGAAACGAGGCGGGGCAAGGTTTGCCAGCTGACCAATGGCAGGGAAGGAAATTCGTACCAGGCGCACACCACACCCTCGCTTCATGCCCTTGCTTTTACATTACCAAGCAAACCAGATCAAGACTGAAGCTCGTTTTCCCAATATTTGCTAATGAATCCACATAACTGAGATTGAAATATGAAGCACCAGTATCAAAATATTGAGCGGCTGTAAGGGCAAATGTGTATCCTCCGACGAACAAAAGTTTTCAGAAATTATCAGTATCATCTGCGGTATCGAGAGGCTAGAATGCTTCACGCTGCCTGGCTTGGCAGACTAGGACGCAAATCACTCCAAAACGTCAAAGAGAGGAGTAGATTAGTTTCTGATATAACAAAGATTCTGGTATTTTGGTACACTGAGGGGAATGGAAACCCTGAAGGAAAAGGATCACAAAACCAAAATATAAAAGATGGGAAAAGGTTCCACTATGAAAGGATAAACGAGATTACTATTTTCGGCAAAACTGATAGTAAATAACATTGGTTCGTTCGGATATACTTAATACAAGTGCATCAATATCAGTTCAGTTCACCCCTTCCGTCACGTTACAAATTGCATTGTGCATCCTCCAAATTCCCGTTTTTGTTTATAAAAAAAAAACACACACAAAAAAAACACGGTTCCCACTTTCTGTAACAAGCAGGCAATATTTTCTGTTTGTACTTGTAAAAAATCAAACAACTAACATCTAATATTTTTTTTGTAAGCAAATAACTTTTTCCCCCCCCATAATCCAAGCAACCAACTTCTTGATTTTTTTTTTTGATAAACACTAACCTCATTCTTATAAAAACCGAACAACTAACCTTCCGTTTTCTGTGGGCGGCCGGAATACATTAGGCTGCAGGTCGTCAATGTCATCGAGGTTGTCGCACATGACCCTGGCGAGCGTGACCTTCCTGACCTCCTTCAGCTGATCCGGCGACAGCGAGGACACGAAGCCGCCGTTCTCGAACCAGAAGCGGTCGCCTGGAAAGCAGAGAAGGCGCGGGTGAAATAGCCAATCGAGGGGTATTTGATAACATTAATCCGTGACTGGTTAAGAGCATACCTACACACACACATGCACTCACTCACTCACACACACACACACACACACACACACACACACACACACACACACACACACACACACACACACACACACACACACACACACACATCCACACACACACACACACACACACACACACACACACACACACACACATCCACACACACACACACACACACACACACACACACACACACACATTCACACACACACACACACACACACACACACACACACACACACACACACACACACACACACACACACACACACACACACACACACACACCTACACCTACACACACACACACACACACACACACACACACACACACTCACACACACACACGCACGTATGCGTGTGCATGTGCGTATGTATATAAAAACGTGTGCGTACTCACATACGTAAGCATATTCATCCGTACAAAAAAAAAGAAGAAAAAAAAAAAAAAAACTTACCGCGCCTGAGATTGAGGAACTGCTGGCCCAGGACGCAGGCGAAGGTGGGCCCGACGAGCCCCCTGAGGACGGGCTTCTCGGCCAGGCCCCCCGAGAACAGGTCGATGTCGTCCACGTGCCTGGGGAGGAGGGCGAAGGCGGCGCCGTTAGAGGCAGGCAGGCAAACGGACGCGTTGGTGTATGGTTGGGTGGAGGGAGGGAAGGAGGGTGAGAAGGAGGGAAGGAGGGAAGGAAGGAGGGAAGGAAGGAGGGAAGGAGGGAGGGAAGGAGGGAGGGAAGGAGGGAAGGAGGGAGGGAGGGAGGAGGGAAGGAGGGTGAAGTGAGAGGAGGTGAGAGGGAGGGAGGGAGGGTGAAGTGAGAGGAAGTGAGAGGGAGAGAGGGAGGGAGGGAGGGAGGGTGAAGTGAGAGGGAGGGAGGGAGAGGGCGAGGGAGAGGGGGGGGAAGGGTGAGGAGGAGGGAGAGGGAGA